ACCAAGAAAATGGCCAGCTACCAAGCAAGAGAATCAACTAGAAAACAAATAAAACTAATAAAAGAATGAGGAAGCTGGACACAAGGTTAGCAATAACCACTTAGAAAAAGTAATGAAAAAGATCCCATTCATAATAGCAATAAAAACTTTACAATATCTTATATTAACCTTAAGAAGAAAGACCTATATTAGAAAAATTACATACACACACACATATATATATATGGCTTTAGAGAATCATATAAGACTAGAGTAATTGAAGAGACATATCACATACTTATAATGGAAGAGACTGAGCATCCTTTCACGGTTCATAAACACATTTATATTTTCTTTCTCCTGTTCATTTTTCTTTTGTGCTTTTTCTTTTTATTTCAAGCTTTTATTTAAATTCCAGTTAGTTAACATATAGTGTAATATTAATTTCAGGAGTAGAATTTAGTAATGCATCACTTACATTCAACACTCAGTGCTCATCATAAGTGCCCTCTTTAATACCCAGCACCCATTTAACCCATCTCCCTGCCCACCTCCCCTCCAGCAACCCTCAGTTTGTTCTCCATAGTTAAGAGTATCTTTTATGGTTTGCCTCTTTGTTCCCTCCATGCTCATCTGTTTCATTTCTTAAATTCCACATATGAGTGCAATCATATGGTATTTGTCTTTTTCTAACTGACTAATTTCACTTAGCGTACTACACTCTAGCTCCATCCATGTCATTGCAAATGGCAAGATTTCATTCTTTTTGATGGCTGAGTAATATTCCCGGGTGTGTGAGGGCATATATATATATATACACACACATATACACACACACATATATATACACGTATATATATACACACCAGAACTTCTTTATCCATTCACCGGTCAATGGACATTTGGGCTCTTTCCATAGTTTGGCTATTGTTGATATTGCTACTACAAACATCAGGGTGCATTTGTCCCTTCAAATCACTACTTTTGTAGTAGTGCAATTGCTGGATCACAGGATAGTTTTATTTTTCAGTTTTTGAGGAACCCTCCATATGTTTTCCAGAGTGGCTGCACCAGCTTGCATTCCCACCAACAGTGTAAGAGGGTTCCCCTTTCTCTGCATCCTCATCAACATCTGTTGTTTCCTGTGTTGTTAATTTTAGCCATTCTGACAGGAGTGAGGTAATATCTCATTGCAGTTTTGATTTGCATTTCCGTGCTGATGAGTGATGTTAAGCATCTTTTCATGTGTCTGTTGGCCATCTGCATGTCTTCTTTGAAAAAATGTCTATTCATGTCTTCTGCCCATTTCTTAACTGGATTTTTGTTTTTTGGGGAGTTTGATAAGTTTTTTCTTTAAATATTGTATTTATCCATTTGTCAGAGAGCGAGAGAGTGAGCACAAGCAGGGGAGGCAACAGGCAGAGGGAGAGGGAGAAGCAGGCTCCCCACTGAGCAGGGAGCCCAATGCGGGGCTCGAACCCAGGACCCTGGGATCGTGACCTGAGCCAAAGACAGACGCCCAACTGACTGAGCTACCCAGGCATCCCAGATAAGTTGTTTATACATTTCGGATACTAACCTTTCATCAGATATGTCATTTTTTAAATCAATCTCTAGGAGTTTGTTATAAATTAAGGAAAAAACTCTTTTATGATATAAACTACAAATATTTTTCCAGTTTGTATATATTGTCTCCTATCTTTGATTTTGGTGCTTTTTATCATGCAAGTTATTGATTTTTTTAATGGTTTTATTGAGAGATAATTCACATACCATATAGCTCACTCATTTATACTGTTCAGTGGTTTTTAGTATACTCAGAATTGTCCATCTATCAGAACAATCAATTTTGGAATATTTTCATTAACCCAAGAAGGTATCACACCCTCCTTAGCCCTCACTCCCCACTTCTCTGCAACCCTCCAATGCTCAGCCCTAGGCAACCATAAATCTATTCTGTCTTTTGAGATCTACCTAGTCCGGACATTTCCTATAAATGGAATCATACAAGATGTGGCCCTTTGTGCCTGGCTTCTGGATACCTGTCCCTTATTAGATAAATGATTTGCAAATATTTTCTCCCATTCTATTAGTTGTCTTTTCATTTCTTGATAGTATCATTTGCAGCACAAAAGTTTTTTTAACTTTGATGATGTCCAATTATACATACACACATATTTGATACATATATTTTTTGTTGTTATTGTTGTTGGTTGGGTTTTTGATGTCATATCTAAGAAAGCTTTGCCTAACCCAAGGTCACAAAGATTTATTCCTGTTTCAACTCTTACATTTAGTTCTATGATCCATTTTGAATTCATTTCTGTGTATGGTGTAACAAAGGGAGAAGTTATTTTTTATGTCGGCAAACTTAACTACCTTTTACTATATGGCTTTTGAATTTTCATAGTTAGAAAGGGCTTCTGTACTCCAGGATTGTAAAGAAATTCTATGATTTCCTAGGGTACATTTATGGTTTCCCCTTTTTACATTTCAATCTCTGACTCCTTTGTAATTTATCCTGGTATATACAGTGTGAGATACAGATCCAACTTTTTTTTCACCCTGGCTACCCAGTTGTCCATCACCATTTATTGAACAGTCCATCTTTTTCCCATTGCTGTGAGGTGCCACCTTTATCATATACTCAAAAACATTTTTAAACGGTAAAACAAAAATTAAAATAAAGGACAACTGTAAGAGGTAAATGTGCAAGAATAGACAAGGAAATAAGACTGTGAAAACACATGGGCCTCATGCTTTTATTTTGGGTAGAAGCTCTTTGACGGGGCACCTGGGTAGCTCAGTCATTAGGTATCTGCCTTCGGCTGAGGTCAGGATCCCAGGGCCCTGGGATCGAGCCCCGCATCAGGCTCCCTGCTCAGCGGGAAGTCTGCTTCTCCCTCTCCCACTCCCCCTGCTTGTGTTTCCTCTCTCACTGTGTCCCTCTCTGTCAAATAAATAAATAAAATCTTTTTTTTTTTTAAAAAAAGAAGCTCTTTGACAACTTTCTCCATTCTTTTCCATGGTTACTGGTCTGTGTAGGCTTACCTAGATCCTCTGCAATCAATATTACCCATTTTCATTTTCCCAGAAAATTGCCCATCTAGGTTTTTAAATGTATTGTGAGCAAGTTGTACAAAATACTTTCTTATAATTTTTAAAAACTTCCTCATGGGGTGCCTGAGTGGCTCAGTCATTAAGTGTCTGCCTTCGGCTCAGGTCATGATCTCAGGGTCCTGGGATCGAGCCCCACATCGGGCTCCCTGCTCAGTGGGAAACCTGTTTCTCCCTCTCCCACTCCCCCTGCTTGGGTTCCCTATCTCGCTGTGTCTCTGTCAAATAAATAAATAAAGTCTTTAAAAAAATAAAATAAAATAAATAAAAACTTCCTCATAGCTGTAGTTATGCTTTTTCTCATTTAAGACTTTTTATATTTTTATGTTTTATTCCTTTATATTCTTGATTAGATTTATTTATCTATTTTATTTTCTTCTTCTAATAACATCTTCTTGCTTATTTGTCAAGTCTATAGGGTTTTTTTTGGTGGGTAGTTCATTCATTCATTTCTGGATTTTGTCTAACATTATTAATTTTTCCCTTCAGTCTCCTCTAAGGTTTATTATTCTTTTCTAGATCACTGACTTGAGAGCTCAATTCATTTACTTTTAATTCTCACTTATTTCATCCAGGTATATCACCTGTACTTCATACCCACCTATGTTATTCAAACATTGCAAATTGTATTGCTTATGTAAAAGGGAGAGGGAGGGAGGGAAGGAGGGAAAGAGGGAGAGGAGGAGGAAGAGAGAGACAGAGAGAAGGAAGAAAACTTTTCAAAATTCAAAAAGAAGTGACCAGGGCCAGACCTGGAGTGAAGAAAGAGGAATTCACCTTGGGTGCAAAATTTAAGAGGGTGCCAAAAACTCAGTAATCAAACAAATAATATTTTAATGCAGTATTTTAGAAAATCAAATTGGAAATAACCTGCAGACTGGTTCCCTGTTTTTAAATAAAGCTTTATTGGAACCAGGACCAGGATCAGAGTAAGGTGAGTGAGACAGGGTTTAGCAGGCACAGGAGTGGATCTTGCTTTTTTAAAAAAAGATCTTAATGTGGGACGCCTGGGTGGCTCAGTTGGTTGCGCGTCTGCCTTCGGCTCAGGTCATGATCCCAGGGTCCTGGGATGGAGTCCTGCATCAGGCTCCTTGCTCAGCGGGGAGCCTGCTTCTCCCTCTGCCTGCCACTTCTGCTTGTGTGCGCTCTGGCTCTCTCTCTCTCACACAAATAAATAAATAAAATCTTTTAAAAAAAAGATCTTAATGTGTTTTTCACCATGGCTTTCTTGGGACTAATTTTGATTTTTGAAAATGATGCATTAAGGGCGCCTGGGTGGCTCAGTTGGTTGAGCGACTGCCTTCGGCTCAGGTCATGATCCTGGAGTCCCTGGATCGAGTCCCGCATCGGGCTCCCTGCTCGGTGGGGAGTCTGCTTCTCCCTCTGACCCTCCCCCCTCTCATGTGCTCTCTCTCATTCTCTCTCTCTCAAATAAATAAATAAAATCTTTACAAAATGATGCATTATAAATGTATCTTAATTACTGAGATTTTATGGACCCTCTTACTAAATTTTGCACCCAAAGTGAGTTGCTTTACTTGCCTTACCCGAGACCTGGCCCTATAACTAACTGCTGATAGTAGTATAATGACTTTTTTCTGTCTCTTTATATTACTCTGTTTTCTAAATCTGTACAGTAAGTACAGATTACTTTGATAATCAGGAAAAAATAATTTAAAAAAGAAGTCAATTGGGGTGCCTGGGTGGCTCAGTTGGTTAAGTGGCTGCCTTCGGCTCAGGTCGTGATCCTGGGGTCCTGGAATCAAGCCCCACATCAGGCTCCCTGTTCAGCAGGGAGTCTGCTTCTCCCTCTCCTCTCTCTCCATCTGTCCCCACTTCTCGTGCTCTCTCTCTCTTAATAAATAAAATCTTTAAAAAAATAAAATAAAAAAAGAAGTCAAGACTCACTCAATGATGTTCCTTGTGGTTTCACCATGGGGCTTGCAGGAAACAAAAATCAGTGTGCGGATAGCCCTACAGTTTCGAATGGCTTGAACCACCTGATAGTCTGAAGGAAGAAACACATTGCTATTAATATAATTACTTTTGTTTTAAAGATTTTATTTCAGACAGAGACAGCGAGAGAGAGACAGAGAGAGAGAGAGAGTGCACAAGTAGGGGGAGGGGCAGAGGGAGAAGCAACCTCCCCACTGAGCAGGGAGCCCCATGTGGGGCTGGATCCCAGGACCCTAGGATCATGACCTGAGCCAAAGGCAGATGCTTAACCAACTGAGCCAGCCACCCAGGTGCCCCGCTATTAATATAATTAAGTTATCATGGTCTGGGTTATCAGAAACTACCAACTGGCTAGCACCTAGGATTGGTTAGGAATAGAGAAGTAGGGTCAGAGCCAGCCCACTGGGAGCCCCCTTAGCACCATATGGGATTAAGGTACTAAAGATGGTGGACATCATGAGAACACCCAACTAGTTCTGTTAACAGGAGAGCTATCCATTCTTACGCAGTCCCGCCCGGGCTGGGTTCACCACAGCAACAATGAAGTGCCCATCTTCCTTTGACTTTAGTAGCTGTGGTAAAATCTTCTCTGCTCGACCAGCGTGGAATTCACAGTTGGTGATGCCTGCAGAAGAGAGGTCCCCAGGACAGAAGTCAAAACTCAAGCCCAGCAGTGAGGAAAGGGGCAAGGGAGGGAGAGTTACAGCTTTACAGAAATGTACAGGAGCCAGGGCTCTGCCATCTTCCCTTTGGGTCTGGCATACCACCAAATAACAAGGAAAAAAACGCTTTTGGACCTGCCTCATTGTTGCCAACACATTTTCCTTTGCGATATCTCAGTAGGCCTTTCAGCTTGAGATACTAGAACATGTTATTTTAAAACTTAGTGACACATAGCACATAAGTACCTGTATACTAAGAAGAAAACCTTGACTTTTACTCAAGTGCTCTTTCTGCTACATTAGAGATTTTCAGAGCCTCAAGAGTTGTCTGGAGGTAGGGTAGAGAGAACAAGGAGATCTGCTTTCTATATCGTAGTCTGGCATATGATTTTGTTCAAAGAAAAGGTTTTGTGGCTAACAATTGTTTGAAATCTACAGTATTATGTTATAATGCCTCATGAGTCTAATGTCAAGAAGGCTCCTCTTCTTTATTATCCAAAGTTTTGCCAAATTCTCTTCCTGTCATCTAGGCCTGTTCACTGCCTCGGGCTCTTCTTTTGGATAGAAAAAAAAAGGGGGGGAGATTAGCTATTGGGACCTCTTTTAGAAAACCATCAGGACCCAACTCCAATCACTCCAGGACACCCTCCCTCCCTCTGCACAGTCATGGGTATAGTCAATGCCCTTTCCCACACAACGCTTTACAGAGCACAGAAGCAACTGGAGCTCTTCATTTCTCTCCAGAATGCAAGCAGTGTACCATTGAAGGCTGCAGTCCGCCTGGCGTCTTCTACTGCCTGTTCCACCAACTCAATCCCAAGGACCTGCGAGGCATACTGAGCCAGAGAGACACCAATCACACCTGAGGAAGGAAGAGGATAAGAGGAGGATATTTTAGGATTTTATTTTATTTATTTTATTTTATTTATTTATTTGTGAGAGAGAGAGCACAAGCAGGGGGAGCAGCAGAGGGAGAGGGAGAAGCAGGCTCTCCACTGAGCAGAGAGCCCGATGTGGGGCTCGATCCCAGAACCCTGGGATCATGACCTGAGCTGACGGCAGAGGCTTAACCGACTAAGCCACCCAGGCGTCCCTATTTTAAGATTTTAAACCAATGATGGTATGCCTGCACCACCCACCATCGCCTCCCCACTTGAGCCCTGGGTGCTGGGTAGATGGAAGCTAAGTAGCATGTAGATTCTGCCCTGGGCCGCCACTTGCCAGTTCCACAGCAGATGTCAAGGAGGATGGTGTTAGAGTTCACTCCGCTCAGCTCCCGCACTGTCCGATATAGCACCTCTGCACCAGCAGTGTTGATCTGGAAAAAGGCATCTGGAGAGATGCAGATCTTCAAGCCCAGGAGATCTTCAAAGAGGTGGGGTTCCCCAAATAGGAGCTGATAGGGGGACTGCTGATGGCTGCAACGCGTCATAGTGCTGGAAAATAATTTTTTTTAAAAGGTTTTATGTATTCATTTGAGAGACAGAGCACAAGCAGGGGGCAGAGGGAGGGGGAGAAGCAGACTCCCTGCTGAGCAGAGAGCCCAACGCGGGGCTCGATCCCAGGACCCTGGGAGCATGACCTGAGCCGAAGGCAGACTCTTAACCAACTGAGCCACCCAGGTGCCCCTGGAAAAGAATTTTTAAAAAAGCAGTTTGGAATAGCAGACCATTCCATCTCTACTGGTTTGCGGGGGGTAGGGGGGAGTGGGCAGCATCTCAGCCAGGAGACACGGCCCCCACGGCATGGCCCTGAAAGGTCTGGAAGAATTCCCTCTCGGGGGATGGAGGTATATGCAGACACCCTCTCATCTAAATTTGGCCTGGGTTCCGGGACCTGGCTGGTGTACAGGGGCCGGTATCACTTAGCCCAGTTCCCCCACAGTCAGCAGCCCTGCCTCAGCAAAGCCACAGCTCAGAATATGGCAAGCCACCCTGCTTGCTGTCTTGGCTACCCCAGGTTTACCTTTCCTGGAAGTAAAGTGATGACAAGTCACAAACTGCTCCTGGCCCAGTGGTGAAAAACTTCTTGACAGCCTCCTTCTGAACATTGAGGTCCTCCTGCCCAGATCACAAAATCAGGAGTCAAGCACAGACTCATCTCTGACAAATTTTCTCTCCAAGCTCTACAATAATAATCAGCCTTGCAGTAGTCAGACAAGAAGGCACCTTTCTCAAATCCTATTATAAATAACACTTAACATAAAGCAATGTTCTACATGACAAAAAATACACTATTTACACATCTCAGCAGAAGCATTGCTTTGCTTATCAGCTTTTGACAAATCCTATACAGTAGACATGGTGCTTTCTCCAATTTGAGCCTCCTTAATAGTCTTCTAAAGAAAGTGAGAGTTATTCCTATTGTAAACAAGGAACTAAACTAAGTTTTTGCCTCATTATGAAAAGCAATAACTTTTCAACTCCCTTTATGCCTCTCCACTTCAAATATCCCAACCACCCACTCAAATACCACCTCAAAGATGTGAGTCCTCAAAGAAAAGAAAGAGGGCATGGGAGGGAATGATCAGGGTAACTAAATTCTTTCTTTGAATTCAGAACATTTTAAAATTCTTACATCACTGCAGAGAGCCTAAACATTAGCTTGACACAGGACAGATCACAATAAACTATGCTGGAGCTCTAGAGTTAAAAGGCCAAGAACTGTATTTTGGGGATAAATACCCAGTAGTTCGATTACTGGATCATAGGGTAGTTCTATTTTTAACTTTTTGAGGACCCTCCATACTGTTTTCCACACTGGCCATACCAGTGTATTCTTACCAACAGTGCAGAAGGGTTCCCTTTTCTCCACATCCTCGCCAACACTTGTTGTTTCTTGTATTTTTGATTTTAGCCATTCCGACAGGTGTGAGGTGATATCGCATTGTGGTTTTCACTTGCACTTCCCTGATGATGAGTGATGTTGAGCATTTTTTCATGTGTCTGCTAGCCATCTGTATGTCTTCTTTGGAGACAGTCTGTTCATGTCTTCTGCCCATTTCTTTAAATTCAAGAACACTAATTCAAAGGGATACATGCACTCTGATGTTTATAGCAGCATTATTTACAATAGCCAAATTATGGAAGCAGCCCAAGTGTCCATCAACAGATGAATGGATAAAAGAAGAGGTGGTATATATATACAGTGGGATACTATTCATCCATAAAAAAGAATGAAATCTTGCCATTTGCAACAACATGGATGGAGCTAGGCAGTATAAATGCTAAGTGAAATAAGTCAGTCAGAGAAAGACAAATACCATATGATTTCACTCATATGTGGCATTTAAGAAACAAAGCAAATGAACAAGGGAAAAAAAGAGAGATACAAACCAAGAAACAGACTCTTAACTACAGAGAACAATCTGATGGTTACCAGAGGGGAGGTGGGTGGGGAGATGGGTGAAGTAGGTGATGGGGATTAAGGAGTGCACTTGTCATGATGAGCACCGTGTGATGTATAGAATTGTTGAATCACTATATTGTATACCTGGCCTAATATAACTCTGTATGTTAACTACACTGGAATTTAAATAAATAAATAAATAAATAAATGGGGTTTTTTTACATATGTAGATTAAACTTACTAATGTATTTTATCATTATCTGTGCTCACCATTATTTACTACATCTCTCATTAAAGTTAGCATTGTGTATTTTCCTGTAGTTCTGTCAGTTATTAGGTGTACGTAATTTTAAATTGTTGTGTTTTCCTTTTAAATTGAACCTTCTACCTTTATTAAGTCTTCTCTTTTATCTCTAGTAATACCTGCTGCCTTAGAATCTACTTCGAGAGGCGCCTGGGTGGCTCAGTTGTTAAGCATCTGCCTTCAGCTCAGGTCGTGATCCCAGGGTCCTGGGATCGAGCCCCGCATCAGGCTCCCTGCTGAGCAGGGAGCCTGCTTCTCCCTCTCCCACTCCCCGTGCTTGTGTTCCCTCTCTCGCTGTGTCTCGCTCTGTCAAATAAATAAATAAAATCTTTAAAGAAAGAATCTACTTTGATATTAATAGTTATATCTGTTTAAATACCTACATACATACATAAAAATAAAAGGCCACAGGAATTGTGTGTCAATTATACTCAATTTTTTTAAATTACAAAAAAAAGGTTAGAATCAATGACGTGGGTTCAAGCCCTAGCTTGGCTATTTACTGGCTCTTCACCTTGGGTATTTCTGTGCCTCTATTTGCTCATCTGAAATGAGGATGACAATATTTTTCCTTCTCTCACCTACTTTACAGGTGGGTTGAGATGATCACATTAAGTACAGGAATATTTTTTTTTTTTAAAGATTTTATTTATTTATTTGACAGAGACAGAGACAGCGAGAGAGGGAACACAAGCAGGGGGAGTGGGAGAGGGAGAAGCAGGCCTCCCGCCGAGCAGGGAGCCCGATGTGGGGCTCGATCCCAGGACCCCGAGATCATGACCTGAGCCGAAGGCAGTTGCCTAACCAACTGAGCCACCCAGGCGCCCCAAGTACAGGAATATTTTAACATGGGAATGTTTCAAAGCCCTAAGTGAATTACAAATGTAAAGTATTATTTGAGTTATGAAATTCTGACTATATTCTCCTCTCTATTGAATCGGCTTTTAGAGTCAGTAGAGTACCTACCAACTTCCACGGGCCAAGTTCTTGTGAAAATACTCGGGAGTCCTCACATGATAATTAACTTGGTAACCTCACCTCAGTCTCTGTGATTTGATTATGCCAGCAGCGTGGTTAGAGTACCTCGCTATCTCCTCCTCACCCTCGACCCCTCTTCCCAACCCATACAAATATTCTGTGGATGTGTAATTTCTGCTATCTGCCCTGAAACTTCCAAAACCAACTGCAGGATAGTGAAAACAAGAGCTGCTACGGAAGCCGCCCCTTATCATTCTGTGAGTCTCACCTGTCTTAATTCCTGGGGATGGAAAGTGATGATGGCCATTGTGTGCCCTTGGCTATTCGTGCGGACTATGAGCTCACGCCAGTACCCACCTTCATGGAACAGAAGGCAGGGCTCCACTGGGGACTGTCGAAGGAATACTTCATAGTACTAGGAAGAAAACAGTATTGTTATGCAGACAAATCTAACAAGTTTCACAGCTGATTATTCATGCGGAGTGATTGTTATGGGCTAAATTGCATCCAGCCCCATGCATATGTTGAAGCCTTACCCCCAGTACCTCAGAATGTGACCATATGTGGAGATAAGGTCTTTAAAGAGGTGATTAAATTAAAATGAGGCCCCTGATTGCTGTCCTTTTAAGAAAGAGAAAATTGGGACACACACAGAGACACCAGGGATGCCCAAACAGAGGAAAGATCATGTGAAGACACAGAAGATGGCCACCTACAAGCCAAGGAGGCAGGCCTCAAAGAAACTAAACTTGCCAACATCTATCTAGGACGTCTAGCCTTCAGAACTGTGAGAAAATACATTTCTGTTGTTTAAGCCACGCAGTCTGCGGTACTTTGTTATGTACCTAGTAGACGGATACAGATTTTGGTACCAAGAAGTGGCATGCTGCTGTAACAAATACCTAAAAATATGGAAGTGGCTTTAAAACTGGGAATGGGTAAAGACTGGAAGCGTTTTGAGGCGCAGGCTAGAAAAAGCCTAGATTGCCTTAAAGAGACTATGGGCAGGAATATGGATATTAGAGGTGATTCTGGTGAGATCTCAGAAAGAAATGAGCATGCTGTTGGGAACTAGACAAAAGTTGATTGTTATAAAGCAAAAAAGACCTTGGACGAATGGTGTCCTAGTGTTGGGTGGAAGGTAAAAATTCTAAGTGCTGAACCTGGATATTTAGCTAAGGAGATTTCTAAGCAGTGTTGAAGGTATGGCCTGGTTTCTGCTTACTGCTTATAGTAAAATGTATGGAGAGGAGAAAGATACACTGAAGAACGAATTGTTAAGCAAAAAGGAACCGGAACTTGAAGGTTTGGAAAAATCTCAGACTATCCATATAATATGAAAGCATGTTCAGGAGGCAAAACCGAGGTCTGGCTGGATAATCCTTTGATAAAGTGATTACAGGTGTGACTCATGGATCCAATCAGCCATCTCAGCAGAAGCCAGGAATAGAGATGAAGTTTTATCAACAGAAACACCGCCAGCTTTGACTAAAGGGGACAGAGACAAGATATAATGAAGGAAGGCTATCAGACTTCTGGGTTTCCACAGGACAGGACAATAGACCTATCTGACTGCCAACAGGTGTTATCCTTCAAGAAGAGAAGAATGACCCCAAGGCAATTCAGAGATCAGCAGGACGGCTGCTACCACTATTGGCCCAGAGGGGACAGGCCCCAGGGGCGCAAGGTCGTATCCTCAGTTTCAGTGGGCCAGACTGCCAATGTCCAGGGTCTGAAGCATGAACCTGCCACACCAATGGGCCAAAGGACAGAGCATCACGCCAAAGAGGGTAATTCTTGAGCCTTAAAATCTAATGGAATTTGCCCTGCTAGGTTTCAAACTTGCTTGGAACCTATGATACCTCTCCTCTTTCCAATTGCTCCCTTTTGGAATGGGAATGTTCACCCTATTGTCTGTCCCACCATTGTACTTTGGAAGCAGATAACTTGTAATGGTTTCACAAGTTCACAGCTGAAGATTTGTTTTTAAAGATTTTATTTATTTCAGAGAGAGAGAGTGTGAGCATGAGCAGGGGGAGGGGCAGAGGGAGAAGGAGAAGCAGGCTCCCCACGGAGCAGGCAGCCCTACAAGGGGCTCGATCCCAGGACCCTGAGATCATGACCTGAGCCGAAGGCAGACACTTAACCCACTGAGCCACCCAGGTGCCCTTGAAGATTTTTGCCTTAGGATGAATTATGCCTTGAGTCTCATCCACATTTGATTTAGATGATATTCAGATAAGGCTTGGGATTTAGGGTTGATGCTGAAATGGGTTTAAAATTAGGGGCTGGGGACGCCTGGGTGGCTCAGTCGGTTGGGCGTCTGCCTTCAGCTTGGCTGTGATCCTGGGGTCCTGGGATTGGTCCCTCATTGGGCTCCTTGCTCAGCAGGGAGCCTGCTTCTCCCTCTGCCTGTTGTTCCCCCTGCTTGCGTGCTCACTCTCTCTCACTCCTGCTCTATCTTTGGCAAATGAGTGAAATCTTTAAAAAAAAAAAAAAAACTTAAAAAATTTGGGGGCTGTTGGGGGCGCCTGGCTGGCATGTGACTCTTGATCTTGGGGTCATGAGTTCAAGCCCCATGTTGGGTGTAGAGTTTAAAAAACTGGGGGCTGTTATGAAGGGGTGAATGTACTTTGCATGTAAGGAGAATATGAATTTTGGGGGTCCAACGGGTAGAGGGTTATGGGCTAAATTGTGTCCCCCTAAAACTTGTATGTTGAAGTCCTAACCTCCAGCACCTCAGAATGTGACTGTATTTGGAAATAGGGCCTTTAAAGAGGTGATTAAGTTAAAATGAGGTAGTTAGGATGGACCCTAATCTAATCTGACTGTTATCCCTATAAGAAGGGGAAATTTGGACACACACAAAGACACCAGGGATGCAGGTGTGCACAGAGAGAAGACTATGTAAAGACATAGTGAGAAAGTGGCCATCTGCAAGGCAAGGTGAGAAGCCCAGAAGAAACCAAACCTGCTGACACCCTAATCTTAGACTTCCAGCCTCCAGACTTTGAGGAAATAAATTTCTGTTGTTTAAGCTGCCCAGTCTGTAGTATTTTATTATGGCAGCTCTAGCAAACTAATGCAGTGATATAAGAAAGAGGATCCCTGCCCTGCAACCTCACAGAGGAATATTATCCATTGTATTTTCCAAACACTAAGCTCCATGAAGGCTTAGAGTTATATCCTTAGTCTGCCACATAGTAGGTGCTCAGTAATTATTATTGAAATAAAGTATGACTGAATGAACAGGAAAGGTGTTTCTATGTAGAGTCTTAATTTATTCTATGTACACTATGAAGTACAATAATCTTCTATTTTTATGAATTCCTCCTGGAAGCAACTCCTAATACAGCACTAGGTTGCTATGATTCCACTCTTATTTTTAACTTCCTGATATACACCCATCATTTCTATATTCCTTCATATAACCAGGTACCAACTACACCATGGCTTAGCTGGATGCTTCATTTCCTCCTTGTGAGTACAAGTCAGATGCAATCCTGATTTAGTAGCTGGGATAGCAAAAATCCTTAAAGCTAAACTTTTCAAACACAAACCAGTGGCTAGCACAACAGGACACACTGTCTGATTTACTAGCTCCTTTCATTTTTGTAATACGTGTGTTCTAGTTCCACTATATTTTCAAACAAACCCCCAAATGATGCATGGAAGGAGAAGTTATACCAAAAAAAAGTGCTGCCTGAGAGGGTAAAATCAACTAAGGCTGCACTTAATCACTTTTGCTGTACTGTCATAAACATGCAATATAAGATATGCTTAACTACACTGAACATATTTTTCAAATTTTGAGGTTGGTGATTTTAATAAAAAACACCGGTTCAACTGTTGGTTACTGGCTGGTTGGAAAGCAACGTTTTCTGGAAGCAAGATTCAAAGATCACTGGGGTCCCGGAAGGATAGGAAATTGAAAAACTGAGTCCAACTCGAAAGATAATGGTAAATAGATATGAAATACAGCTCCGCCACTGTATGAACTGAGACCTTGGTTTCTTCATTTATAAAATGGAGACTGAAACTCTTATTCCTATATAGCAAGGCCTAACTATGATGAGCGAAAGGGGCTTCTAGTTAAAATAACAGAATATTCCTTATAAAAATCCTACTAAAATGGGGGCCCCTGGGTGGCCCGGTTGGTTAAGCGTCCAACTTTTGATTTTGGCTCAGGTCATGATCTCAGGGTCGTGAGATCAGCACCGCATTGGGCTCCGCGCTGGGCCTGGAGCCTATTTAAGATTCTCTCTCTCCCTCTCCCTTGGCCCCTCCCTGCCCCTGCATGTATGTGTGCACGTACTCTCTCTCTAAAAGAAATCCTACTAAAATGAAATAAAGGAATAAAAAAGACACAAGCTGATTTAAGCTCATTACTCCACCAATTCTCCCTTCTCTTTCTCCTGCACCATCATTTTCCTACCTCACTACTAGAACATTCCCATAAACATATAAGCAAGCTCTTACTCTCCCACCTTTAACAAAGAAAGGGAACTTCCTGACCCCACTATCCCTACCAGCCACTGTTATATTTCACTGCTCCTCCTTGTAGAAAAACTCAAAAGAACCATATATATTCACTGCCTTCCACTCCTCTCCTTCTATTCACGCACTAGAATCAGGTCCCCACCACTCCACCAGAATGGTTCATGTGAAGGTCACCAATGATGTCCTTGTTATGCAATTCAACATACATCCATCTCCACCAGTACTGTCACTGCTCTATATCAACTCTCACTTGGATTACTGCAAGAGCCTCCCAACTGGTCTCTCCTTGTTTCTATCCTGTCCTCCAATAATCCATACACAACACAACAGCCAGAGTGATTCTGTGAAACCCAAATCATATCATGACACATCCTGCCCATCAAAACCTCCAATGGCTCAGAATAAAAGCCAAAGTCCCTACAATGACCTCCAACGCACTACATAATCTTGCTCCTATTAACCATCCTACCCCATGTCTGACACTTCTGGGCCTATTTTCAGTTCCTCTAAAAAGCCTGTCACGTTCCCATCTTAGGATGGGCTTTCTCTTTTCCTAGAAAGCTCCACCCTCAGACCTCTACATAGCCGACCCCCTCACAGCCTCTAAGTTTTAAATGCAAGGTTTCTCATCCTCAGGACTGCTGCCATTTTGGGCTAATTCTTTGTTGTGGGGAGCTGTCCCATGTGCTGGGGGACATTTGACAGCATCTCTGGTCTCTACCCACACTAGACGCCAGTAGCACTGCCCAATCATCCCTCAGTGATAACAACCGAAAATGCCTCCAGGTATTGCCAAATGTCCTGTGCAAGGCAAAACTGCCCCCCAGTTGAGAGCCACTACTTTATTCAAATACTGTCTTCTTCTGGAAGCCTACCTTGACCCCTTTTAAAATTATAACCCATGCTCACTTTGGGAGCACCTATACTAAAATTGAAATAATACTGAGATTAGCATGGCCCCTGTGCAAGAAGGACACACAAATTCATGAAACATTCCGTATTTTTATCATCTCAAAGGATAAACACTGACAAAATCTGTTACTTATAGAATCATGATTTAACTCCCTACCTCTTCTCTAAATAAACTTACTTAAGTTCTAGAACAACAACAACAAAATTACGACCTAGGCTTCCTCCAACCCTAGAATTTCTTATCCTCCTGATCCTGCTGTACTTTTCCTATGGCACTTGCTTTAATCTGGCTGGGCCCCTATAACAAAAATACCGCAAACTGGGTGACTTATAAATAAGAGAAATGTATGTCTCACAGTTCTGGAGGCTGAGAAGTCCAAGATCAAGATGCTGGCAGATGCAGTGTCTTACAAGAATGTGTTTCCTCACATTCCCTGCATATTTTCAAACCACAATGCTTTGAAACTGCAACTCAATCACAAGACAAAATTTGGAAAGAATTCAAATACATGGAGGCTAAAGAGCATCCTACTAAAGAATGAATGGGTCAACCAGGAAATTAAAGAAGAATTTTTTTTTAAATTCATGGAAACATGAAAATGAAAACACAACTATCCAAAACCTTTGGGATGCAGCAAAGGCGGTCCTTCGAGGGAAGAGCATAGCAATATAAGCCTTTCTCAAGAAACAAGAAAGATCTCAAATACGCAAGCTAACCTTACACCTAAAGGAGCTAGAAAAAGAACAGCAAATAAAGCCTAAACCCAGCAG